TACAACCCAAGTATGTCTAGCAATAATTACAATTCAAACATCCTTGTAGGCCAGTTTTGACTCCTTGCATGTTGACTCATCTGAGGGAGGACACTCTCCTGGTAGGCCTACTCATCGCCGTTACCATAGTGGAGGCTCCTTTAAGTTCTTGCCTCCACCTGATCTACCAGAGTCACCTCCAAGGGGCGTGGTACCTACACGCAAAGCTGAGGCCAGCAGGTACATTTCACACCATCAACTGTGACCTTTTTTGGTCATAATTATTAGTCCTAGTTAGCAGTTATTTGTTACTGGTACTGTGTTCTTTTCCTTAAAAAAAGAAAGCAAGCAAAACAAATTAACTAGATTTTTCTATGGGAAATACACTCTTGGAGAAATGGCATCATAGAGTGTTCAAAATGCCAGGTGAAACTTATAATAGAAGTGAGTGGTACCCCTGTCATTTATCCCTGCAGTGTATTTACTGTGGTTTATAAGAGTGTTGTCCTACTGTAAGAAGATAGGACCATTCCTTATCTTAAACACGGAAACTGCACACAGAATGTACAGTTATGTACCAAATCTCTCCAGACCTTTCTTTTTTGCAAGAGAATTGAAAGCAGCAAACCTACTGTTTTTTACCCACAAATCAAGGGGTAACATAAATCTTCTAGCCCTCCCAAACTGTCTCTCATGTTTATAACATACACATGCTATTGATAATTTCTTTTTCTTATTTTTATGTTATGTTGGACATCAAGACGGATGGCAGGCAATACCAGTTTGGGTGAGAACTATGCATTTGCTGGCATGTATCACATCTTTGATCAGCATGCAGAAAGTGGTAAGCATGGCATTGTGATTGTTTGTATTTTGGTTGTAGAGTAACCTAGTGTGGCAGCTTAATGGCATATGTCTCAAAATAATGCAATCACTAGGGATGGCAGTCCAATCTCTCTTTAGCCCATTAGAGTTATTTTGGGCAGCTGATACTCCCCATTTTTATCCTACATGTACAGTGTAATTAATTTTGTACAATGTAGGTTTTTTTTTTCTTTCTTTTTTTTTTAATTTTTAATTTTGAGTACAAATAGAGTTGTTGTTGTTGCTGTTGTCTTTGCTTGCCATGAGGTGTGGCGACTGGGTTACAACTTGCAATGTGACAAAATATATAGTTAACATTAACATATAGTTAAAATACATAATAATAGACTTAATAGTTAACATTAATTATAATCTGAGGTGTTGAGAAGAGGAAACAAAAATTATAATAAGCAAAAGTTTTGAAAAGCAATCATTGAATTTGCTGCCTGTAAACAACCCCTTATTACTTTTACTTGCTTGTTCTTGTAAAAGTCATTAAAGCCATCCTTTACTTTATGCTAGTCTATTTCCCTGGGTCTATTTCACCTACACCTATAATAAACTATGCATTTGTTTGGCAGAAAAATATCTTTGAATAGTTGATATTGAGGAATTCAAAATGGGTACATGCAAATGTAGTCTAGAAAAGTAAATGACTGCACAATGAAGGAGTGTAAAATAATGTGCAATGCATACTTCTGTTAACAGTTTTGAACAGAGAATATGTATTTAAGTTTAACAGCTGAATTATAAGATAATACAATTAGTTGTTTTGTGAAAGTTTATCAGTGACAATGTATATCAATTTTTTGTCTTTTTTTTAGTCACTGCCATTAAATTTGCTAATGATGACAAACACCGTTTGGCATGCAGCTCTGCAGATGGCACACTGTCTGTCTGTGCACTTGTGCCTTCACCTCCATCTGTGTCCTGCACACTTCGAGGACACACAGCAGCCGTCACAGGTAGGTGCAAAGTGAAGGGGCGTCATTAGCAGCTATTGTGATTGGCCCACTGCAGTGACTAGCAAGGCAATAGTGAACTTCAGTGCCAAAGCCACCAAAAGACACTACCCAGAGAAGGCTACTCAACTAGGTGTGACAGTCAAGGATTCTGAAGCAGGGTGGCTAAGGGAGGCACAGTGGCCAAATGGTTGTTTGCTAGACTCAAGATTGAGTGGTCAGGGGTTCTAGACCCTGACCCGCAGGGTCAAATTGTGTTGTATTTCGTGGGTAAGACACTGTACTCTTACTGTGCCTCTCTCCAATCAAGGTACCTGTAAGTTTCATGCTGGCAGTACATGTAAACCCGCTTCAAACAAGCATCTCACCCAGGGGTAGTAGGAATAATTGCATTCCTACTAATGTCTTGCTATAGAAACCAGAGCTAATTTCCAGCCTGATGGACCGCTAGACTCATACACAGACATTACTTTTCCATCCATACAAACTGAACATGATATAGTGGTGTTCACATGGAAGATTGATATTACATACATGACCGGAAATTATAGTTCCTGCCCTCACTTTTTAGATTGTCAAATATTTTTCCTCCATGAATGCCTCCAGAGACACATGGAACATCTGCCAAGGTTGATGTTTTCTTTTTTGTCAGATTTTGACTGGTCAATAACCAATGACTTCATACTGTCTGCATCTTTGGACTGTACTGCAAGGGTCTGGGATCCAGCATCTGGACAGTGCTTACGTGTTGTGAATGACAATCACACCTGTGGTGTGTCGGCATGCAGATTTCAACCTGTTAACAACAACATGCTAGTTGTATCCTTTC